CAGATGAAATGGCGCTCCTATGGGCAGGAAGAGGGACGCCAGATGAAATGGCGCTCCTATGGGCAGGAAGAGGGTTGTCAGATGAAATGGCGCTCCTATGGGCAGGAAGAGGGATGCCAGATGAAATGGCGCTCCTATGGGCAGGAAGAGGGATGCCAGATGAAATGGCGCTTCTATGGGCAGGAAGAGGGATGTCAGATGAAATGGCGCTCCGATGGGCAGGAAGAGGGTTGTCAGATGAAATGGCGCTCCTATGGGCAGGAAGAGGGACGCCAGATGAAATGGTGCTCCTATGGGCAGGAAGAGGGATGTCAGATGAAATGGCGCTCCTATGGGCAGGAAGGGGGACGCCAGATGAAATGGTGCTCCTATGGGCAGGAAGGGAGACGCCAGATGAAATGGTGCTCCTATGGGCAGGAAGAGGGACGCCAGATGAAATGGTGCTCCTATGGGCAGGAAGAGGGATGTCAGATGAAATGGCGCTCCTATGGGCAGGAAGAGGGACGCCAGATGAAATGGTGCTCCTATGGGCAGGAAGAGGGATGTCAGATGAAATGGCGCTCCTATGGGCGGGAAGAGGGATGTCAGATGAAATGGCGCTCCTATGGGCGGGAAGAGGGATGTCAGATGAAATGGCGCTCCTATGGGCAGGAAGTGGGACGCCACTTTGTACACTTGCTCCACCCATATGTCGCGGCTGCAATGTGGTGAGGGGGAGGGACTAAGCAGGAAAGGGGAGGGGCTTTGCATCATTATCAGTATATAGCAATGTAGTCAATACACTACAGATCCCAAGAGCGGGGGAGGGTAAATACATGACACTGTGTAATAAAAGGGATACAAAAATATCTCAACATTTATACTTATTAAAAAAACAAAAGTTGCGGCCGAACCTGGTGACAGCCTGCGCCTCTTCAAATGTTCTGGCGGACGGCAGAGTTTTATACGCAAAGCCCAGAACCCGGTACCCGTCCCGAGTGTACTGACGCAGCATCGTGGAGAAATCGGCCGGTACTGCAAGGAACAAAAACAAATCTCTGAATTGTTACATTGTTATCATACAGAGATATTCTCATTACCCCCCCCCCCACAAACACCCCT